CGGTAAGCCATATAAATAAAGTTTGTGATTGTGTCCTTCCGAAACATTCTATTAATGGATAATCTTGTACGTAAATAATTTTAATGGGAGTTTTAGCTTGCGCGTTCCGATAGTTTTGATAAAATGCATAGAAATAAATAAAAAATGCAAGGACTTTATAATATGCATCTATGATTTTGGAATTGTTTGTTAAATATTTATTTTTCTTCCCCCAAATAGAGTTTCAGTCGAGATTCCACTAACCGAATCCTGAGTGTTCAATCAAATTACTCAACGTTACAGTCAGTTGATTTTTATATTGAAGTCTCGTGATTTGCTTCATGAATTAGATCGCAATCTCGAAAAAATGATTACACCACATTATTATTGGGTGAAACGAAAATGCATCTTACCAAAAACAATCATTATGTGAAAATTTCTCATTTCGGGAAGACAGTAAATACAGTAGTCGACCAAAAGTGTGATGATAATAAAGAACTCAATACAATTTTGGATTTTTGCGCCAAATTTCTATGCATACTATTCATATTACGATGGTGTCATGTGACACCGCATGTCCTACTGCATACGCAGTATGTATCGACCGTGCGTCAATACGACGCGGTGTTGTCGACGAATCCTTTCAAATGTTTCAGGCATGCTAAAATAGTGCTAATCCCGTGAAGCAAGCGGATGCTGAAGTCAAGATAGGAAAGGTCTACCCCATTAAATTTGACGGTATATGTGAAGACGAACTTTCATGATACCATATACAGTAGACAGATTGGACACCGAATTTATTTGGTAAAGCGAGATGATGGAAATTGTTCATCTCTTTTTTTTTTTTATGTATTCATTTCATATTCATATTCATATTCATTTTATTTTTATTCCATTTCATTCTATTCTATTTTATTTTATTTTATCTATCTTATTTTTTTATTTACAAGTCGTGGATTCTTATACGTAACCCGAATTTTACTTATTTAATCATTCCGTCGCATACTCATTAAGAGAGGGCAGGGAACATCGTGATTCCATCTTTCGTCTATGTACGCATATTTCTCATTTAGTTTAATCCAGAGCCAAGTAAACAATTACCATATCTTTTATTGTAATGGTCGCACGATATTTTCAACAACGATTGTAGTACAATGGGGTGAAGAATGGGGTTTTTAAGAACAGACGAAATGAGGTGCTATTTCGAGGCTTAATAGTCACGTGAAAATCCACGTTCACAACAAAAACGTTAATAACGTCTTCCTGTTTTGATAGATATTTCTGTTGCACAGCATTTTCTCTCAACCCCTAGAAATCTGCAAGAGTCGATTTATTACAAAAGAATTCTACATTGGAATGCATCTGGATGGGGTTGATTTTGCTATTTTTTTATATGATTCTAGCCATATGTATGGGTCTTTAAATTCTTCAACTCTGAACTCCTGTACTTTGATCCAATGAACCTCACTTTCTTCTTTCAGCTCCGACCTTGATTCTCGGTACCCCATATACAAGCTAGTATAAGTGGTTGCCACATTTTACACAGTGTCTCATTCTTTTCTTGTTTGCAGGATATTTAAATTGATCAAATTTTCTTTCCAATCATTCATCGCAAAGTCCATTATTATACTTAATTAGTAATGACGATTACAGTCGTATTACGGGTCTCTTTGATGTTCTGAAATGGGTGATGTTTTGTTTTTAAGAGTGTTTTGCTTGCTTGTTTTTTTTTTCGATTAGGTAATTAATTAAAATTTACTATTTTTAATATACGTGCAAAAATATCAGGGGGGGAGGGTATTGAGTGTTGCTCTTTATGAAATCTACTTAGTCCTAATTGAATTACTTCAGTCCTCCACCAAATATTACTGGATACAGCGAGTCTGTTACTAATCTGAAGCTTAGGCTCATGTATAGGTATGGATAGAGGTCTTGAATCACTTATATACCAAAAGTACTTGTTAATAAACTCCTCTTTAGATACTGTTCTAATCTATACCACAAGCCCTTTGTGGTCTCTCAAGATTTTACTAGTGGCAAGTACTAATCAAGACAAGTTTATTAATTATCTTGATGCAATTACAAGTTTATTCAATATTGTATTGTCTCTATCTATCTTATGGTATCATAGGTCATTTGATTATTAACTATCATTTCCGTCACCAGCGATCTATTACTATTTTAGTGCTGTCACATCTATCCTCACCCATGACATGTCCTGTGGCCGGCTGATGTATAATCTGATGCATCAGTAATGACGTGCCATATCAAAGTCTAAATTATTATACAAATTATAAAAATGCCTATAACTGCCTATATAAAAATGTACAATTTTTATGTTAACAATACTATTCTGACAACCTATGTTCATAATATAATATATATTCAGAAGATTTGCTACATATTTTATTGTGTGTATACATTAGGTCACTAATTACTAAAAAGAAATCCAAACTGGAAAACCTTATTTTGAATTTCAATCCTAAAGGCATCAAAGTTACTGACTTCATCAATACCCTTAAATTATCACCAAGCACCTTATTAAATTTAGCCATCTACAAATTTGATTCTTTCTTCAGTTCACTTGAAAAAAAAGAAGACATTTTTAACTACACACTCAAAATTCTTTACAAGGCCTGGAAAATACGATTTGCTATAGCAACAATCTTATCAGCATCTGGCATAAAATGGAAAAAAAACCTAGCTCCAAAACATCAAACCTGAATATAAATGACAACACTACATTTAACAAGATCTTAAATCTGCTAAACATTTCATCAAACTATACTAACAAATCAATATTTATCCCAACAGTAATATCATCATTCTGAACAGGCATTAGCCATTTAGTACTATTGATGTGAGCCCACCTTCGAGGTGATACTTGGTATCAATAGATTTGTTGTGATAGGTTACAATTAATTTACTTCTGTAAAGATTATTAATGTAATGACAGTAAATTTTTATTTAAATAAAGTCTCGCATTTAATGTTCATTCATGATAAAAAAAAAAAAAACAAAATTTTGATTTTATTATGTTTTTATGAAAACAAAAAAGATTATATACGGTACTTTGATTTGATTTGTAAATCATAATAGAAACATTCATTTATATCTGAAATAAGTTCAATTTTTCTTTATCTATTCAATTGACTTATTGAATAATTTAGCTCAATGCAATTGGTTTTATTTATTTAATGATTTAAATCTGTTAATTTTACAATCTCAAATTTTATTCAGTTAAGTAAGAATATATAGTTTTTATTTGCAATATTTTTAATTGATTTATTCTATTTAAATATGAAATATGGAATTTCAAATCAACAAAATTCTTGTGAACATGATCTAATAATAATAAATCATCGTGTGTTTGAAAAAAGCATGTTGTCAAATAAAATTTTATGAAAATCGAATTTGTTGTTAGATCCATATTTTTATTTATTGATTGCTACGTATTTTACAGTACTTTATTAATACAAAGAGTAAGACTTGAGAAACATGTATTGCGAATAATAAGATAACAATTCTATTATGATAGGTATTCAAGAAAATCTTGTACTATTCAAGAGTGATTTTAATTATGAGTTAGCAATTCAGCTATCAATAATGTTAAGTGAGTTACTATTAATTGAGTTTTGCGACAATCTGTTAATTGAGTTAATAAAATGTGGAATATTTTTCAGTCTGACATCTTTAAAAATAGGTAACTGATAGGGGCTGATAGGGACCGATTATCAGTATCTCTATGCGCACAGATTGATGATTCCGCACCGTATATAGGTTCAAATTAATGAATGATGAAGCTGAATGTGAGGGGGATAAAATCCCTTCTATGTCGGATTTTTTTAGATCTATCGTGTTGGAAACTACCAGTTGCGCATTTGTCTGGCAATATCTTAAGGAACAGCAAGAGTTAACTGGTTTGGCCATATGCTAGGGATAGTTTTTGACCATAATCTGAATTCTGTTGGCGTAATTACTATACATTTATCATTATCCAAGTGAATAAAGCGTATGAAATCATGAGTTTTTGTTACGCAATTTTAAGATTGACGATTTATTTGTAATCCCTTATTGTCCCTCCTTTTCAACTTCCCATTTCATGACACGTTCTTTTCAAACAAATACAGCACTTGTGATTGTAATTATATTAATAACCGGTTTAAATTTTCTCTTTCATGATGTTGTTATGATTGAAGATAGATCCTGCGTATCTTCAATGCCATTAAAGGTTAATACAATCCCGAATCAAACCAGTGATCTCTTTCCCTATTTGTATACTTCCAAACCGGCTTTCTCGGACCGACCATTTTAAGCTTATTTACCAGTTTCTTCCAATGCAAAGTACGTTGTCCTGAGGGTCCCTTGACGCTTAATTTGCGGTGTGGCAAGTATGAGCAAGTAATAGAGGAACACGTTATAGACCAGCGTGAACTGGCTCTCATCTACATTTCAACAGGGAAGAGACTGAAATGATATTATAGGCGTATATTGTTTTAGCAACGTAGATGTGACCACAGCATACCGTACTTTGTCGATGCAATGACCTGGTAATCAGAAAAATAGCCCTTTGATTTCAATAATCTAACAAATTGCGTGATAATTGATCTGCTAGAATTATAAGTGGTTCGTCGAGAAAATTATCACATTTCTTTTTCTCTTATAAAAAATGTTCATCTTAACGCTTTGTGAATACCCGACCGCATTTTATGTATGAAAAAGATTCTTTGAAAACATTGGTTTTTTCGTTCTTAATTCAAACAGTTGGATTATAAAAGCGAGATCAAGAGATATGATGGATAAATTATTTTTTTACCAATGAATGATACAGTATCTCAAACGTTATGTGTAACCACAAAAATTTAGATGGAAGAATTTTAAATTTTGCAACATTGTACAATGTATTTGTTGTTTGCTTTCACTTTCACGATGTAGGTTTGCAATAATCCGGATTATTTACATGGAACACATTAAGAATTGGAACCACCAGTCGGACCTTCTAATAGCCGATCGCCTTCGCTAAAAATTTCCAAGTACAACAAGGCGCAGTAAAATTAGAAAAGTTACGTACGTACTTACGTATCAATGAAACTTCCGGAAAATGACCTGATGGTGGCTCATAAATGTAAAACAAGTATATGCCCCATCAACCCCATCCAGATGCATTCCAATGTAGAATTCTTTTGTAATAAATCGACTCTTGCAGATTTTTAGGGGTTGAGAGAAAATGTTGTGCAACGGAAATATCTATCAAAACAAGAAGACGTTGTTAACGTTTTTGTCGTGAACGTGGATTTCACGTGACTAGTAAGCCTCGAAATGACACTTCATTTCATCTGTTCTTAAAAACCCCATTCTTCACCCCATTGTACTACAATCGTTGTTGAAAATATACCGTGCGACCATTACAGTAAAAGATATGGTAATTGTTTGCTTGGCTCTGGATTAAACTAAATGAGAAATATATGCGGACGTAGGCGAAATATTGAATCACGATGTTCCCTGCCCTCTCCTCTTAATGAGTATGCGACGGAATGATTAAATAAGTGAAATTCGGGTTATAAGAATCCACGACTTGTAAATAAAAAAAAAAAAAAAAATAGAATAGAATAAAAATAAAATGAAAATAAAATGAATACATAAAAAAAAAAGAGATGAACAATTTCCAACATCTCGCTTTACCAAATAAATTCGGTGTCCAATCTGTCTACTGCATATGGTATCATGAAGGTTCGTCTTCACATATACCGTCAAATTTAATGGGGTAGACCTTTCCTATCTTGACTTCAACATCCGCTTGCTTCACGGATTAGCACAATTTTTGCATGCCGATATCCCAACATGAAACATTTGAAAGGATTCGTCGACCACACCGCGTCGTATTGACGCACGGTCGATACATACTGCGTATGCAGTAGGACATGCGGTGTCACATGACACCATCGTAATATGAATTAGTGTGCATAGAAATTTGGCGCAAAAATCCAAATTTGTATTGAGTTCTTTATTATCATAACACTTTTGGCCGACTACTGTATTTACTGTCTTCCCGAAATGAGAAATTTTCACATAATGATTGTTTTTGGTAAGATGCCTTTTTGTTTCACCCAATAGTAATGTGGTGTAATCCTTTTTTCGAGATTGCGATCTAATTCATGAAGGAAATCACGAGACTTCAATATAAAAATCGACTGACTGTAACGTTGAGTAATTTGATTGAACACTCAGGATTCGGTTAGTGAAATCTCGACTGAAACTCTATTTGGGGAAGAAAAATAAATATTTAACAAACAATTCCATAATCATAGATGCATATTATAAAGTCCTTGCATTTTTTTATTTATTTCTATGCATTTTATCAAAACTATCGGAACGCGCAAGCTAAAACTCCCATTAAAAGTATTTACGTACAAGATTATCCATTAATAGAATGTTTCGGAAGGACACAATCACAAACTTTATTTATATGGCTTACCG